TCACTGCCATTCAGCAGGCTGGAGAAGTGTTCCCTCCATAATTTAAGTATGCTCTGGGCATCGGTGACTAGATCACGTTTGGGGGTTCTACAAGAGTATGCTCCGGTCTTGAAACCTTCTGTAAGCCGCCGCATTTTTTCATAGAATTTTCGAGCATTACCCCTATCGGCCAGCTTATTAAGCTCTTCGTACTCACGCATTTCGGCCTCTTTCTTTTTTTGACTGCAAATACGTCTCGCTTCCCTCTTCAACTCACGGTATCTATCCCATCCCGCACGTATAGTGGTCGATCGTAACGTTGCGAGGTAGGCAGCATGTTTTCTCTCCAGCTGTTCTTTTTTACTTTCCGAAAACCAATGGTTTCGGTTGCAGCTGTACATAAGGAGTTTGAAATGCCGTCCCACAGTTCCCTTATACCGAGTTGTTGACGAGTGCTCTCAGAGAGCAAGAGTGCAAGCCGAGTAGACAATCGTTCGGCTGTCTGTTGTGAATGCAGCTTCTCGACGCCGAACCTTCCTTGTGTTTGATGGCGTGCGTTTTTTTGCTGCACAGAGACGCGTACGAATCTTGGCTGCTATTCTTAGTGGTCCGAGTCTAAAACACTGGAGACGTGTCTTCCGTCTATCACAACATGATCGATCTGGTTGGTCTTTTTTCGATCCGGAGACAGCCAGGCAGCTTGATGTATCTTCTTATGCTGGAATCTAGTACTACAGATGACCATATTTCAGGCCCCGGCGAAGTCGATCAGACGTTCATTCATCGGGGTGAATGATAGTACTCGGCGACGGAGTCTCTCTCCCACCACGAATAACACACCAAACTTGCGCTCCTTTATATGGCCACTGTAGTAAATGCCACAAGGACCTACTCGTCTCCGTCYTTGTCCCGTCCATCGCTTTTCTTAGACGGCGATGATGTCAGCCTTTTCTTTTACGAGGACATCAACCAGCTGGGCAGCAGCACCTTCCCATACAAGAGACCGGACATTCCAGGTGCATGCCCTCAATTCGTAGTCCTTATTTCGTTTGCCATGGTCGTCATCAAAAGTGGGGTCTCTCATCCGAGCTGTTGTGCCGTTTTCATTGGGTTGGTTTTTTTACGTGGCGGGTCCCAAACCCAGCGCACAACCCTATGCAGGGAATGTTTCGCCTTCTCACTTTAGCTCGCCTTCAAACGGATGTTCTCCAGAGGATACTTGGTCAAGGACCGGAAGTCGTGAGCTGCTTGAGTCATATGTAAAGGAATCGTTTCTGGCCACTCCCAAGTGAATTGCGATCAGAGAACTTTCCTCACTTGCGTGAACTTCCACACATGACCCCATCCTCCATTTATTTAGTTATTTATTTATCGCGCTTTTTAAGTGAATTCAGTTGTTGTAGCGTAAGTAGTTTGGGGACATGTATATTAAACCTTTTAGAAGGCGTGGACACACCCACTTTTTGAAAATTTTAGTCAACAGGTATGTTATGGCTTTCTATAGGTTTCCGTTTGATGGCGTTTGGTGGGAGTGGCAGTGGTCCGATTACGCCCAACTACAAACCCGTCCTCACTTTTGCCAAGAAACACTTGTACAAAGTTTCATGAGGATATACTCGTATTTTAGACCCAGTTGTGCCTTCGTTGGATGGAGTCATGTGTAGAAGTTCACGCAAGTGAAGAAGGTTCTCTGATTGCCATCTTGACATCATCACTTGGGAGTGGCCAGAAACGATTATTTTGCATATGGCTCAAGCAGCTCACGACTTCCGGTCCTAATTGTAGACCAAGTATCCTCTAGGTAGTCAAAGAACATCCATTTGAAGGTGAACTAAAGTGAGAAGGCGAGAGATCCTCTCCACAGGGCTACGTAAAACTCACACCCAATGAAAAAGCACAAACAGCCTCCGATGAGAGACGCCCCTTTTTATGACGACCATGCAAACGCACTAAGGTTAACGTAAGGGCATGCACCTGGAGAGTCCGGTACCTTATTTGGGAAGATGCCGCTGCCCAGCTGGTTGATGACATGTCTGACAGACAGACTGACTGTGCCACAAGGACCTTATCGGTGATTTGCACTCACGCCGCGTCGGAAGAGAATGACGATGTGACCAAAGATGCCTTCTTTGAGCGATTAGAGCGCACCTATGAGAGCCGCCCCGCCACGATGTCAAATTCGTGTTTATCGACTTTAACACCAGAGTGGGCAAGGTATTTTTGGCACATCTGTCGGTAAATAATGCTCGAAAATTCTACGAAAAGAAGATTTCAAGACCGGAGCATACTCCTGCAGAACCCCCCGAGGTGATCTAGTAACCGATGCTCAGAGCATACTAAAATTATGGAGGGAACATTTCTCCAACCTGCTAAAGGGCAATGAAAGCGTAACGCCAGGAGAAGACGATTCCTCAATCAATGACGATGGAGCAGACGTTCAATTGCTCGACCATGAAGAAGTTTGAATAGCATACAATAAAGCGGCGGGGGCCGATGGATTGCCGGTGGCGAAGAACTGATAAGGAGCATGTATCAACTTCTTTGTAAAATATGGTCGGACGAGAGCATGAACAACGATTGAAATTTATGCCCAATTCTTACAAAAGGATACCCCCCAATCTGCGCCAACTAGCGTGGGATTAGCCTCCTCAACATCGCATATAAGGTTCTATCGAGCGTATTGTGTGAAAGATTAAAGCCCATCGTCAACAAACTGATTGGACCTTATCAGTGTGGCTGTAGACCTGGCAAATCAACAACCGACCAGATATTCACCATGCGCCATATCTTGGAAAAGACCCTTGAGAGGAGAATAAACACACACCACCTCCTTGTCGATTTCAAAGCTGCTTTTGACAGCACGAAAAGTAGCTGCCTTTATGCCGCGATGTCTGAATTTGGTATACCCGCAAAACTAAAAAGGCTGTGTAAACTGACGTTGAGCAATACTAAAAGCTCCGTCAGGATAAGGAAGAACCCCTACGAGCCGTTCGATACGGAACGAGGTTTCAGACAAGGCGACCTGCTGCTATAGAGAATAATTCGAGATGCCGAACTCAATCCAGCAGGTACAATCTTCTATAAGAGTGTACAGTTGCTGTCGTATCCCGATGGTATTGATGTCATTGGCCTCAACACCCGCGCCGTTAGTTCTGCTTTATCTAGAATGGATAAGGAGGCAAAGCAGATGGGTCTGGCAGTAAACGTGGGCAAGACTAAATTTCTCCTGTCATCAAACAAACAGTCGTCGCACTCGCAACTAGGCTCCCATGTTACTATTGACGGTCACAACTCATAGCTTTGAAGTTGTAGATAATTTCGTCTGCCTTGTCACCCGCATTAACAGCAACAACAATGAAAGCTTCGAAATCCAGAGCAGAATAACTGTTGTGAGTAGGTGCAACTTTGGACTGAGTGGGCAATTGAGAAGTAAAGACGACCATACTTCTAAATATACTGACAAGTAAAGACGACCATACTTCTCAATTGCCCAACCAAACGCTATAAGTCACTCATTTTACACACACACATTTTAGACCTCCTATTTACTTCCATTACCGTCTGGGTATTTAGCGACATCGTTGTTCCCAAGTAGTCCATGTGAATTGCTTTTGATGCCAAAGCAAGATTTTTATTATGTAAAACAAAATAGTTTGTAGAATGTAATTCAAAATTTCTTAAAAGCTTCCACATAATTTAACGGATATTTTCGGTGATAATCATGGAATGTTGGTACGGTAATTCGTTAAAATATAAGAAATGCATTAATCATAAAAGAGCACATTTAACGTTGAAAGTTGAAAGAATGTAAATATTTATCAACAAAGAGAACAACTTTATTGTAATCTACTATATTATTTAACATTTTCGCTTTGTGCTTAACGTATAATACATGAACGTTTAAAATATATTATCATATGTATATGTATACATTTCTTAATCGAAAACACACCACGTCGCTGATATATTAAGGAGCAAACATATTCACACTTAATATGTTTGCACCCACACAGCACTTGGCCACTTTGTTTTAAGGCACATACGTAAACACTTTATGTCCCTCATAAAGATATTGAATATTTGTAAACATTCCAAATCAAATAAAAATATATATGTTCAGAAGGATATAAGTTTATTCCACAATTCCCACAAACACACATATGCGAAATCAAATGTGGTCGATGCTGAGTAAAGAGATGGAGTAAATTTAATGGAAATTGTGAAGGAAACTTGTTTTTGAACTATACAAATCCTCATGACTTTAGTAAGGATATCCAACGAATATTTCAATGCTACTATGGAGAATAATTTTAACATTACTGTAATTCTAATTCCCAATTTATATTAAATTTAAATTTGATTCAAGTAATACAGTAATTTAAAATACATTGCAAGCAAAGACTGTGACTAATAGGTTGCTATAATATATTAAAATAGAATAAAAGGGAATGAAATGTGCGCAACTGACAGTGCAAAAAAAACTGTTGACAGTAGATCAGCAGTTTAACTACTACTCATTTGTGTTTATTGTGATCGTTTTGCCTTTAGGATCATCAAATCGATCCATGGTATTGATATCCATCATCCAGCAAATACCAACGAAAAGTATTGCAAGCAAAATTGCGGACACGAATAGACCAGCAAGAATTGCATGTGAAACAAAACCGACACAATTCCAGGATTCACCAAATTCAAAATAGTTTGTATTTACAGTCGTAACGGCACTACCAAAAGGTGCTTGGAACTGGACAGAGTTCCAAAGGAGTTGATCACCGGCTGCTGAATAAACAGTTAAATTACCGCAATAGTAAGAGAAGGCTGGAGGTGCATTTATATCATTTGTGCGGAACACTGTATCCTTATTGTATGTCAACTGTTTCATGTAGTAGTAACCCTTCTGTAACTCAATGCCAAATGTGATCACGTCAGCAGCATCACTGCTGCTGAGTGTGACAGTAAAGTCGGTGGTATTGTGATCATCGATTTTCATACTGCTTATAGTAATTGCTTTTGTTGGGTTACTACCAATTGTTACGTTCAACGTTGTATAGAAAATTTGGAATTTGGTATCAGTGAATATAATACCACCTTTTGGGGCAGCAGTCTCCCCCACGGACAGTGCACGTCGAGAGCGTTTAACTGTCACATCTTTTGCAGGAATTGATGTATACATAAATACAGTTGGACAAGAGACTTGTTTCATTACATTAGAAATGGCAATGTCTGAAAAAATAACAAATCTATATAAATAAAAATTTAATAGAGCGAAGTATAAATTATACCGTGTGTCTCCAAAGTTTCTTCGCGATTTAATCCAGTTTCGTCACTGAATCTCAAAAATACTACTTTTCCCGCTTTGCACTTCAGTGGTATTTCAAGCTTTCCGCTTCTAGAGATAGTAATTACCTCGTAATTAGGATCCAACTCTTCCAACACTTTTACAGGGCTATCGACTCTCATGTAAAAAGTGCTGGGCGTGATATTTTGAAGGTGAGAATAACATGACTGTTGTTCAGATCGGTTACTCTTGCACATAAAATCGTTGAATGATAACTAAAGTATATATGACTCATAAAAATATATTGAAATTATTATCTAAAAGAATACTTACATCATCTTCTTGGAAAACAGCAATCATGTGGTCCTTAACAAGTGGTTTCGCAATGCGAGTGAAACTTTCATTATCTACTCTAGTAAGTGCAGGAATTGGTTCACTATAAAGATATGAGTTAAACAGATTAATGTTTAGCAAAGATGTTGAATTCATACACTGGAGCCAAAACTAAAACAATGGAGTCCGATGCGGCTGCAACACCAATTATTAACAACATTAGAAAGGCAATCTTCATTTTCGTTTTTTTTTTCCTCGGATACGTTTTACGCCAAAATAAAGATAATGCAATTAATATTAAACTAAAATGCAATCTAACCGAAACTTAATGAAATTATAAGGGAATTAATGGCAAAAATTCAACAGTTTTCACCTTCCCATGAAAATTGCCCTGTCAAAATGCAAAATTCTTTGTAGCTGCGTATGACAGTCATGTGATATATTCGAAATGAACATACCTTCGAATTTCTGAATTTCGAAACTATACTCGAACTCGTGACATGCAGAGTTGCATATAATTCTTGTTTATATTTTAACGCAGCTGTTATAGCCTTGACAGAAGGCAGCGTTAATCCGGATAACTGCGCACTTTATCAGATACAAATTTGTAGGTGACAGAAGGCAGTTGTGCGAGTCTATTTCATTTATATATAATACTAGTACCAATGAAACTTGATTGAAAATATTTGAAGTTTTTAATACCAACAAGTAAGTAAGGGCTAAGTTCGGGTGCAACCGAACATTTATACTCTTGCAAATTGCAAGAATAAAAACCAAACAAATATTTTAAAACCAATCATATAGAGTAGAGTCCGCCGGATATTCGAAAATCCTTATATTACTTATATAATGGTTAGGCCAAGTTTTCGCTCAAATTTATCTATTTTAGGCACAACGATACACTGTTATAAATGAAAGACTCTCTCTTATTTTCATTGAAATAACTCACTCATTTCCCGATATATGCGATATAAAGTTACCCTGAAGTTTGAAAATCTTTGTATTAAGTATATGCGGGCTAAGAGAAATATTAATCCGATTAACCCATTTTTTGACATCCAGACATACTATTATAAAGAGGGATTATCCTTGAATTTCAATTATATAAATCATACATTGACCGACATTTTCCTTCAAAAGTACATGCACACTAAACTTGTTAGAGAGCGTGGCCACGCCCACTTTTTAAAACAAGTTTTCTTACAGGAACGCCCCTTACTACTGCAATCCTCTGTACCAAATTGTATATATATATATGTATATAACCCTATATCTATCTCGATTAGTTTAAGATAATACGTACAACCCTAACTTTCCATCAATATATACAGCATAGTACAGTATTTCACCCTAACACAGCACAGCGAAAAATTTTATTATTTGGCACACAGCCAAATATTTTAACCTAGTACTATGAATAAATGAAAAAACAAATCTTCGTTTTATATTCTGGCAACTTTGTTTGTTATCAGCCGTAGAAGAGAGTGTTGAAATCATATATATACATACATATATAAATATATTGGTTCCTTGATTACAAATGCAAAGGAAGTGTAATCAGAAAAATTTAAAAAGAGTATATATAAATTACAAATAGAATTTTTTTAGATATATGGTGTTGTAAGCAAATAAGAAACGCGAAATGTTTTTAATTCGGAATTAATCAATATGCGTATTCAGAGAAAGTGGGGTCGAATGTTAAAAAATAATTGGAAAAAATTACGACGGAGGCGATTGTTGATTATATTTATTACAATAGTACTAGCTTTAATGTTTTTTGTCAGAGTAAGTATACTATATTTACATTAAATTAATGCGCCAACAAATTATTTTTATTTCAAGAAAAAAAAATCGAGTGGCACATATTGTGAACCCATCGACGTAGTTTATACTTGGGTTAATGGATCCGATCCTATGTTTACTGATTCAGCAAGGCGTTATAATCCAAATTATGATCCGGCAAGATTCGATGACAAAAATGAACTTCGCTATTCATTGCGATCTCTAGAAATGTATGCACCTTGGGTACGGCATATTTACATCGTAACTAATGGACAAATTCCATATTGGCTAGATCTTAGTTTTGAAAAGGTTACGGTCGTTCCACACGAACTACTTACTACAAAACCAGAACTCCTACCAACATTTTCCAGTTCTGCAATTGAAACTTTCATTCATCGTATACCGCATCTCTCTCAACGTTTTCTCTATTTGAATGACGACATTTTTCTTGGTGCCCCATTATACCCAGAAGACCTTTATACTAACTCAGAAGGCGTGCGTATTTATCAAGCCTGGATGGTACCCGATTGTGCTGAAGACTGCCCTTGGACATACATCGGCGATGGGGCGTGCGACCGTCATTGTAATATAGCCAAATGCCAATATGACGGAGGCGATTGTAACACATTCGGATCAGACAGAAGTGAAGAAAATATGATGGAGCAGCAGATTGATGTAAATAAGAATGTAAAATTAATTCCACAATCGTTTTTAAACTCAACAACGCACATAGAAATAAGACATTTTCCTTTACGAAAAAGGTTCCGTAACAGAAAATATTCTGCTCGACGCAACGGCTTACACTTCCGAGAACTAGTACTACATAAAAATCTGAGTACTCTTGCAGAACTTAGACGTATTGTCGACAACTATAATAGTCAACTTAAGTCGAATAGTCACGCCAATGACCCAGTACTATCAACCGACACTTTACAAAAAAATATGGTACGATTGGAAAAAAGCGTAGAGAAAACATTGAAAAATGAATCCAGTAAAGATATATATTCTCATTCGTTAATATATACGAACATGTTGTTGAATCGTTTCTATGGATTCAAAGCTCGTAACGTGCTAGCGCATGTTGGATTCTTGCTAGATCGTAATATAATATATGCCATGCAGCAAAAATTTTTAACAGAGGTAGACGTTACTTTGTCTAATCGGTTTCGCTCAACAAATGACTTACAATTTGCTTTTATATATTACTCGTTCCTTATGAGTGAAACAACAACTTTAACAGTAGGTGAAGTGTTTGATGAGTTCGATACTGACGACTCACACACATGGTCAGATCGTGAGGTGCGAACTTTTTTGGCACGTATGTATCCTCTTCCACTGGACTGGTCAGCAGTTCGTTTCTTCGAAGAAGTTGTAAGCAACTGCTCTCGCGATCTAGATATGGCTTCACATAAAATACATAATGAATATACAACTTTGGTGTATGAACGTTACGAAGATTCAACAGTGGTGAGTGTTGCTAAATTAAATTATATTTTAATTTTTAAACAATAATCAACCATACGTATTTATAGCCGACTATAACACGAGAGTTGGTCGAACAATGTCGGTTGCTGGCGGAAGCCTTAGAAACAAATTTCGCTACCCGAAGCAAATACAAATTTAACATAATTCCAAAAAGAGCTATCCATAACAATTTTATGATGTTAACATCTAACATCACCGATGTTGTAGATGGGTTTGACAAAATTCGACGAAACCCACGGTGAGTAAAAAATGCTAACTTCATTAGAATAATAAATATATATGATATACATTTAGAAAATTCAACTGCATTAATGATAATTTGGAGCCGCTACTAGTCGAAGATAATGAACTGATCCGTCACTTGTTAGAAGACTTCTATCTTTCCTTTTTTCCTCGCCGAAGTAGTTTTGAATTACAATTTGAATATAGAAATCGCTTCACAACCTGGCACGATTACCAAAGATGGCGTAGACGTAAGCGTGCAGCTCTTGTGGTGGGTTATGCAGCTAGTGTTATACTTATTCTATTTATTGTAAGGTACATATGCATACACAAAACAAAGTTTGTGCGACGCTATGTGCAAAGTCTATAAATATGTTTGGTATTATATGATATATGGAGAAAATGTACTTATTGCTTAAAACAAAAATAAAATGAACGATAATTTAACCAACTGCTTAAAAAAATCCTTTATGTCTAAAACCAGGTATATTCTTAATACAAATACAATATTACATGTACAACAAGGAAGGAATGACTATGAAAGATATGATTTGTGTCATATATACAATCATATATACTCCAATATCTATCTCAACTATTTTTAAGAGCTACAAAGCCGAAAGTATCCGTGTGTAAGATATTACGAAATTGTTGCAAATAAATAAAAAATTGGAGTTAACGAAGTCCACACTTGCTGGAGAATATTTCATAACAGTTACATTTTATGAATAAATTACATGTACATAAATACATTCCCTATTAATAAGCATATGGAAAGCAAAGTTTTGAAAATTTTTGTCTAGTTTTGTTAAATCCAGAACCACACTTGTCAAATAAAAACGAAAATATTTTGCTTTGTTAATAACAATATTAATGAAACTATAAAAATGCATTCGTATATGGAATATACTGATTGAGAACATGCTTGCTATCTTTAATATGGTACTTGCATTGGATGTACTATATATGTATGTACACTCATACTATATGAAGATTTGACGATATATTTTGAGGATATTTTCTATCTTCATCAGATAATTCAAATTTCAGATATGTATTTTGTTTTAAAGATGACTTTGTATACTGATTTCAAGTTTCTTTAATGATCTTACTATTAATTGTGTGAAATAAATAACCTAGTCCTTTTCTGTAAGTAATTTTTCAAAAATGTCTATTATATTTAAGGTGTGCCGTGCTTCTTCAGGGAAGTTTTCTGGAAAAAGCTCTCCGTCAATCTTACCTTTAGGTTACCAGACCACTGTAGTGCCTTCAGGTAAAAGTGCCTGCTACTAAGAAGCCGGTAGACATAAGACTGCTACGAAGTGCCGCATCTTTCAGGGAAATTCTCTCTGACAGCAAATCAGCAAAATACCGCTGAGCTCACCAACTGGGCACTCAAAACTAATCAAGGAGTGTATGGACCCACTAGAAATAGCAACAATCTACTTCAGCATGAGACTCGTTTGGGTGATTAGACAAATCGAAACGGCTGTAAACCTCAAAGCCGATGATCTAACCAAAAGGGGAACCCTTGTCCCGCTCACATCGAAAAGGAATATTGTTGAATTTCCATTGGCATCTAGAGTTCTAGAACTGTTAAATGGACGTTGATGGTAGACGTCCCGCTCCTGTGCGCCTGTGAGATCCTTTTGACTTAGATAGAAAGCTGGCGATTTTCTGAACTACTTGCCCGTAGTAAAGTTAATCTTGCTGCAGTAGTAAAGTTAATCTTGCTGTAATAGTACGGCATCTTACTGGAGATTGTCTATGCAGTAAGATTAAAAATCTCGACGATATGGGAACGCTCTTATGTGTTTTACGTACAAGACTTAGATAATCAACCCGTTCTCTTAACTTTACCTAGGCTAACTTAATTTTCTAGTTCCGTATCAAAAATAAAGCATTAAAAATAACACAAACCAAGAAATCATGTGATATCAACGT